AACCACCATTCTATTTTCTGTGTCTCTGAATTTGACTACTCAAGGTATCCTACACAGGTGGAGTTATATAATATTTGTCCTTTTGTGACTGGCTTATTTCGCTTGGTATAATGTCTTCAAGTTTCATCCATATTGTAGCATGTGTCAGAATATTTTTAAAGGCTGAATAATATTCATTGTATGTATATGCTACATTTTGTTTCTCCATTCCTGTGTCAGTCCATACCTGAGTAGCTTCCACCTATTGGCTATTTATGAATAATGGTGATATGGCTTTCCATTCTTTTGGATATATGCCTGGAAGTGGAATTGCTGGATCGTAGGATAATCCTATTTTGTAAAGTTTTTGAGGAGACATCATACCATTTTTTACAATGGCTGCACCATCACATTGCAATTTTAAGATGCAAGTTGTATGTCCTGTCTTAGACAAAAGAAATGGGCATTTCTGCTGGAAAGGGAACCTTTCACTCATATCTAGCTGCTGGATATGAGTGGAAGGTTCTTCTTTGTATACAGTCTACATGAATGGCGGCACTTTTGCCTCCTAGAGGACATAAGGCAATGTGTCATTTTCACGACTACGCCAATTGTCATGCTTGGGGTTAGGTTCCGGCCTGTGCTGAGGTCTGGAGGGAGTGGGTGGGTGAGCAGAAAGAAGACTCGAGGCGCCATAGTCAGGTGAATATGGTTTTATCCAGCAGCAGCATTCTCACACTGTCCGCCCTGTCTTGGCTGCTTAGTCCGGTGGCCCCCACACACAGCGGTGTGGCTGGGTCTTCCTTACCTTCAGGATCAGCAGCTTAACTCTTTCTCTCTTTGGGCATGTGTTCTGGCTCCCCAGTGTCTGTCTACAAAGAAGGCAGCTCTGACTTTCTCTGGGCACAAGCACACCTGCACAGTGTCAACTGGGCAATTATGCCTTTTACAGACAATAGTGGCGTAGAGCCAAGTGATGGCCTTCTCATGTTATGGCTGTGTGGCGGTGATAACAAATGGCGTTACATGCCTGTGCTCTAAACTCACTGAGTCATGCGGGATGAAAACATTCTACCTTGGTCTATCCTTGACCAAAGCACAGCCATGTTCCTTACAGGGTATGGAGGCCTTTTTGACTGAAATGACTGGTGAGGAAAGTGCTGCTGGCATCTAGCAGGAAAAGCCCAGGGATGCTGCTGCATATCCTATATTACACAGGATGGTCCCTCCCTTACCTTCCCCTCCACTGCCTCCTTAACAAAAAATTGTCCTTTCTAAAATGTCAGTAGCATAGAGGTTGACAAACTCTGGCCTATACCAGGTAATCAGCCCAAGCCAAGCACATCAAGGCACAAAGCAGATAAAGGTTGATCCTGCCCTCCCACCTCCCACTCTTGTCCTAAATTGATTTGGTATAGCTGAGCTGTACCACAGAGAAAAGGTTAGTTGGTGCTGGAACAGGGGTCTGAAAAGAATGCTGTGGATGCCCCAGAAGGAGGGACAGTGTAATTCTGGACATAAACATGGATATCCTCTGATTTTCTCATTAATAAAAATGTCATGGAAGCATGTTTGAAGCTATGCAACCGTATGCTTTAAGCTACATGAGGTATGTTTCTGGGCCGGTGACCAGGAAGGTAATGGAGTCTGGCTGGAATGCAACAAAAGACATCATTTTCCTGTGGCTCTGGAGCATGAACTCTCAGTACTGCTCCTGTAGATGCTTCATGTTCCAGGTCCTGGAAGGTTGCCGGTCACTGTAAGTCTTGCTGAGAATTAGCAGTTGGGCTGGTCAGGATCTGGAGGAGTGAGGTCTAGACCAGCACTCTGTACATAGGAGCTCAGGGTCTCCTGCCATTCTTCTTAGTCAAGCACTTATTTATGCCTTCCTTCAACATTTACGTACATAGTCCATATTTGTCAGCATTGGGCTAGATCCTGGGGACACAACAATGCCTAACGAATGAGGTCGCTGTTCCGGGAGCACTGAGGGAGCAGACATTCATCAACTAATCACATGTATCCATATATAAAATGCTTATGGAGGTAAGACTTATGAAGAAGAGAAATGTAGTTTGGGGAGTTTGTATGACCCGACCTAACCTGGGGAGTTGCAAGGGCCTTACGGAGGAAGTGATGCAGGAGCTGAGAGTGAAGAAAGAGTGAGGCTGGTGTTTAAAGGAGCCACGAAGCTCTCAGGAGCTCCTGGGCACGGGCAGTATGAATAGGAAGCTGAGATCTTCCGCGTGCCTCTCTTTTTCCCTGGTCCACCCTTCCGGGTGTGAGAAAATGCTGTGAGTGCGGCAGGATCTCTGGAAGGCTGCGTCTTGGTGGTGCTGGCAAGAGAGACTTTGTGTTACGATTTTGGTGGTGCTGGTAGGGGTAGGTGTGGGAGGTAATGAAGGTGAGGGAATTACAGAATGAATGCACTGAAGAACTGTTAGACAGTTGCTCAAGCCCTGACCGGAAAATCAATTCTTTTCCCAGCTGTGGTCTCCGCTGTGACTTTAGGCAAACCTCAGAGCCTCACAGACCTATTGTACAGTGGAACAAATAATCTCGCTCCCCTCCACCCTGCTTATCTCACTTGGTTAAAAATGTAAACAGTACCGGGGACCATACCAGAAGAAGCTGGTTTCCCATGACTCTGCAGGCCCCGAGCAGAGCGATAAATAAGAGCTAATTATGGTTATTAAGACTAAAAGATTTTTCAAAGAGGGCCAGGAAAACAAGGTTAAAGAATCAGGTGTAGTACCATTGCAGAGAAGGCTGAAGAAGCGCTCAGCACTAATTTGCCTGGACATGAAGAGTAAGAATTACTTGGAACCTATAATATTGCTTTCCCCATCTTTGCTGAGAACAGAAGGAGGAAACTGGCTTCAGATGTAGACAAGAAGGACTGGTATTAGACAACGGGAGGATCTGGGGTTGGAAGTGCTGTGAGATTCAGGAATGATGCCCAAGGCGTGCTGTGAACTAGCCTCACCTGGTTCATGCCAACGAGAAAAAGATGTATGGGGTGTTTGGGTGAAAGGCATGTGGAGGAGGGTCCCGTTGATCTCTGGAATTTTCTTGCAGCTCACTTGTAGCTCCAGCCCAGTGTGAGAGACCACATTTTGAATCAGATCCGGCAATCCTGGGCTGAGGGTGGGGAAGGAGGAAGGGTTATCCCAAGGAAGGACTAGAATGTGAGCGTGGCAGGAGCTTGCGCCTTTACCATACCTCAGGTGTGATGCCTTTGATTTCCAGTGAAGCTCATAGGATCCCTGCTTGCGAAATCGACTCTCTCCTCACCCCGTATTCTTCTACTGTAGCTTTCGAGACAGCTGGTGAATGGATTGTTGATACGTCAGAGATTCTGCTGAATACTAAGCAGACGTACTTCTAGAATCTTTGCACCCTCTCTCACTCTCCTCCCATTTTTGAAAAGCCCATTCATATTTAATTCACTTCTTCCAAATGGCTTCCACGTCAGCCTGTCTCCCACTTTGTAATGCATTCCAGTCCCCCTTAATGCATGTACCTGCCAAATTAAGCGTTATGGCTTATCAGCTAAAACTGCCATAGGATCAAGCCAAGTGTTCTTGCCAGTTATGTTATGGGCTTTCCCACCTGCCAGCTCTTTTATATTGCTGGGTTGTTTATATTTTTCTTCCTGCAAAGCCCTGTATTCATTCTCTTCAGCTGTCAGTCACTTCCACACCGGCAGTTTTGCATAGTCACCCCTTAGGTAACTGAGAGGAAGGAAGATGGTTGGCTGAGACATAATGAACTCTCTGGGGAGTTCTCATTTGGACACCTAGAATCTTTGGGCATAAGGAGACACTTGCTTCAACTATGCAAATTAGCCTTGGCCTGGGGCCACTGCACATCAGGCAGAAGGCCAGAAGAGAGCAGCAGCAGCTCGACTACTTTGCTCCTGGACCCATCAATTGGTCTCTGCCCTTCCATCCTTGTGAGGTCTGAGTCTGTTCTAGCCTCAAGTCCGGCGATGACCTCCTCACACCATCCTGTCCAGTCCCCTTTAACACACAAATACTCTTGGGGGCTTGATGCCTTAAGCCAATGGCAGTTGACATCTTATTAGGAATTCCTTATCCGTCAGCAGGGAGCAGGAGCGGAACCCGGACTTGGGGCCTCGGTGTGGGTCATTCAGAGGTATGCAGGGGAATTATCCCACATCCCCTCAGAGCTCAAGGACCAAAATATGTATCCACAGACACTTACAAATGCAGTGCTAAGGCACTGGGACACCAGGGGCCTCCAGCAGGAGAGGACTCTAGGAGTAAATGATCCACACCTGCATCATGGAACGGGGGAGGAAAGGGGACTTGGGGAGACCAGGGGAGACAGGGTTTGAAGCCTGGCTCTTCTATGCACTCCTTGAGGGGCCCCAGTGGGCTGTGAATCTCTCTCAGTCTCTCTCTGTCTCTCCTCTCTCTCTCTCTGCCTCCCTACTACTTTTTATTGAATGCATTCTCTGCGCAGGCACTGCTATACGCTTTACATTCATGATCATGTTTAACTTTACAACACCGCGCCGATGGCTATTATCCTAAAAGCATTTGGTCCTGCACCGTTTGAGTCCTTTACAGATGTTGAGAGTGCTGGCTTTGGAATCAGAACTGGACATGACTCCTGGCTGTGTCATTACTAGCCATGTGACTTTGGAGCATGTAATGTCACCAGAAACTTCATCTTTAAAACAGAGATCATAGTGCCTAGCTCAAAGCGTTGTCATAGGAATTAAATGCAGAGAGATAGATGAATGCATATTGAATATTTATTTATAAGTCACCTAGCAAATTGCTTCGTACATTAGTAGGCACCCAATCAATGGCAGCTGTGCTAACGTGCAAAGGAGGAGAGGGATGGTGAAGCCGTCTGGTTGCAGGATCTTGCAGCTGGTTTTTGTAGGACTGCGCCAAACTCTAGACATATTTTGGAAGAAGGCTTTGCGGTCCCAGGTCACCCCCACTGTGAGGGTCAGCGTTAACCAGTACACTCTGGGTTGTTTTCAGAGGCTGCATAAGGAGCTACCGCTCAGTCTGGAGGAACTGGAGGATGTGTTTGATGCCCTGGATACTGATGGCAATGGCTATCTGACCCCAGAGGAGTTCACTACTGGATTTAGTAAGTTCTGATGGGTGCTGGAGACCTCAGGGTTATGGGTCTACCTAACGCTGTGTAAGGTGTATTCCCGCCTCTTCTAGATCTGGTGGGGGCACGTAGTAAAGCTTTACTGACCTCCTTGAGGGACCTGGGGTGCATAGTCTCCAGGCTCTGGATCGCTTGGGCCTCCTCACATGCCTGCCTCAGCTGCTTACATTGCTGCTTGCTCAGTGCCCCCTGCACTGTCACTACCAAGTTCCCTCCCACTGGGACTGGCAAGGGAGATGGACAGAAGCTCTGTAGAAGGCATGGCATAAAAGGGGGATTTGTGAGGAGATTTGCAGCCTCTCCTTTTCTGCCTTGATAGAAAAGTGGCCAGAAAGTGGGACAACTGGACGGTTCATGCCTACCCAAGTCTGGCTGAATCTTCCAGGTTGAGGGATGACAGCTATCAGAGGAATTTCTAGAAGGTTTGAATGGACTAGCCTTTCTCAGGGTAACCTGGAGGAAGGAAAATTGAGATCTATGAACAATATAAAGAAACCAGACACACTATCCGATCAGATATATCAAAGGCAAATTTTACTGTACATCTGCCTCATCTGCGGGGCCATGTAATTTTCTTAGAAGGATCTGATGCCTTTTCTGACCTTCAGGAGCTTCTGCTTCGCTTAGGAGGACAAGACAGAGTGTTGTAATACCAGACAGCATGAATATGGAGAAAGTACACTGGAAACTGTTAGGGAGCTTGTAGATGTGAAGTCTAGTGATGCTAGTGGAGGCATGACTAGGAGGACAATATGCGCCTCTGCAGTCAGGGTGCTGGAATGCAGTGGAGGGAAAGGCCTTGCTGCTTAAAGAAGAAGTCAACAAGAGATGCATTCTAAGCCAGATGCTAAGAGACTGAGAACCACAAAGGAGACACCATACCTGTCTTGCATTATGCCTTTCCCAGGTTCTAGCGTCACTGGTGCGGTACTTGTGGAAGCGGAAAAGACACAGAATCTGGGACTGGAAGGGCTTTCCCTCTCCTTCTCTCAGATGAAACTTCAGTGATCCCTGGCAGCTGAGAAAGCTGAGCTCTTCCTGAGTGGGTATGGTCTGATTCAGATCCTTGTGTTCTGCGCCCCCTAGGTCACTTCTTCTTCAGCCAGAATAACCCAAGTCAGGAATATGCAGGTGAACAGGTGGCCCAACACCACGAAGAGCAGGTGTATCAGTCCAGAGGGGAGGAGGGTCTGGGAGACATGGATGAAGACGAGGAAGCCCAGTTCCAGATGCTGATGGACAGACTTGGAGCCCAGAAGGTTTTGGAAGAGTAAGTGGTGACGGTGATTTATAGAATGGAGACCAGCCTTGTAGAAACCTCTTCCTGTGCCCATCCAACAATTAACATTTATTAACCATGTGGTGCTGGTCCCTGCCCATGGTGCTGCCAGCTGGGGCCTGTCATTTGTGATGACCTGGCCATGTGTTGGGCTCTGTCTCTGCTTTTTACATTTCTTTTTCTTTAGAAAACATTCCTATTCTCCTTCTCTCCCACCCTGTCTACCTTCCTCACACCGGGCAGTGCATCATCCTCAAGTCCTTGGCTCAGCCTTCTCCCCATGGGGCGTTCACGCATCAGGGGGCTTTACCATGCCTTCAGGGTTTTTCATGAAGTTCTTCCTAAGGCTTCCTATCACCGTCAGCTCCCCAGCATCTTTACCCCCCAGCAGAGCCACTCCTGGGTCTCTAGAGCTACGTGCCTCCCAGCTTCCCTAGCTGTGGGCACCTTCCTGGCAAAAGCCCATCACACGGAAGCATTTGCACACTGTGTCCACAGCAAACCAAGCTTGTGCAGGAGCCAAGGTGGAAAGTTAACCAGTTCTTAGCAGGCCACTAGTTGGAACATTTTAGATGGCTGGACCTCAAACAAAACATAATTGCCCCCACCACCTTTTTTTTTTTTTTTCCTGAAAAGTGCTTTGGAATAGACACATGGATCTAAACTCTGACATTTAAGTAAATAAAATAAATAAAATGTGATGTATAGCTAGTAGAAACCAGACAGAGGGCCTGAAAGCATGTAATACCTTCTGCCCCTTTACTCCTTGCCTTTGGCCTTTTTGTTTTGGGGTTTCTAGGTCTTGGGCTGGGTGTGTGTTTCCTGCAGGGCGGGAATGCCCTACTGGTTGCAGCTGATGTTTCTGAGCTTGGGAAGAGAAGGGGCTATGGTGGAAAATGATGAAGAGAGAAGAGACTTATATACGATTTGCAGGCTGAAGCTCTGTGAATTATATATATATATATATGTATATATATATATATATATATATAT